TATGGAGTGGAGACCCTATGTTGGAAAAGGAGACTAGGGAGTGGAGACCCTATGTCTAAAATATCGTCAACTAGGGAGTGGAGACCCTATGTTGGAAAAGAGACTAGGTAATGGAGATCATATGTCTAAAATAACGTCAACTAGGGAGTGAAGACCCTGTGTTGGAAAAGGAGACTAGGGAGTGGAGACCTTATGTCTAAAATAAACANAACTAGGGAGTGGAGACCCTATGTTGGAAAAGGAGACTCGGGAGTGGAAACCCTATGTCTAAAATATCATCAACTAGGGAGTGGAGACCCTATGTTGGAAAAGGAGACTAAGGAGTGGAGACCCTAAATCAAGTTCAAAAGTTTAAAGATCTTGACGAGCCTTGAAGTAGGGTGCATTTGTAGGTATATAAATTTTATCGGAGTTAAATCCAATAAAATAACATGCTTCATATTTTAAATGAAAAATAGAGTTGGCCAAATAAATATTATGGGCTAATATAATTGAATTAATTATATAAGTCCAATACATATGGGTTAAATAAATAGGCTTGAATCTATTGGGCTAGCCCTTTTAATTGGGCTAAAAGTAATGAGCCCACTCCACTAAGCCCAAGATGTCATCTTCCTAAAGGCTCAATTCGGTGCCACGTGTCAAGTGACATGGCACGCCAAATCAAACAAAAGAGCCAATAGGATCATGCCACGCGTCAAATTGACAAGGCGTGTCAAGTCAAATTAAAAGGCCAATAAAACCGCGTCACATGTGCAAATGACATGTTCTTGCCAATCAAATGCGGTCTTGTCACTCTTTAATTTGATTGGTCAGAAAGAGTTTGTTCTTATCATAACTCTTCTCTCTCACAACTATAAATAGGGGTCTTCATAATTCAGAAAAAAAGACCAAAAGTTATAACAAGAAGCAAGAAAGAGCTCGTGGATCAAACGCTACAAATTTCTCTACAGGTTTCAAGCTTCAAGCAATCAAGTTCAAGTTCAAGAAATCAAGTTCAAGCTCAAGAACGAAGAACAAATCAAGATTCAAGGAGTACGAGTTCAAATCAAAGTTCGTGCTAGATGAATCCAAGATCATCGCTCGTGGCAACAAATATAGATTCAAGATCAAGCTCAAAGGCCCTTGAATTTATTTACTATTGGAAAGAAAAATCAGAGGATTCATAAGGAATGTAACACTCAAATATTTTAAATAAAATATTACAATTGTTGCAATATTTTTCGATCTCGATTATTTTGTCGACACAAATTTGTTGTCTACAGTTAGTTTTAATGCCCTCCGGCCGAAACAGCCAAGTCCACTACTACCAATTCCTCTTGGCAATTTAGCTGAAGTTCTCTTCAAATGCAGTATCCTCAACCGATACTTGGCAGAAAAAGCTTGTAGAACTACTGCAAAGGTTCAACGAGAAGAGCAGATTATTACACGTAAGATTCTTAAATTAAGAAACAGTTACTTCCATTCTTGGTAACATATCTAAATGAATTTTGCTTGTACGAATGAATGGAGCGTTAAGCCAATAGAAGAAGACAGCATATTGACAAAAAGGAATGTCACAACACCACGAAAAGCAGTGAGAATATGAACAAAACCAAATAACAAGAATCTTGGCCAAATTGTAACGTAGATAAAGCTGGCAAGACTTATATACACATCGTTGACCAATCAGGCATACTAAATCCACAATATACAAGATTAGGAAAACAAAAACAGTGAGAAAGAAGAATTCGACCAAAAAAAAAAGAACACCAAAGTTGTCTGTCACAACAGAAAAGTCATAACTCCTATATGAAGTCCGAATCTCCACCAAAATGTGGCAGATCTGGATGAGGCCTTCCACCTCCCGGCCTCCTCGGGTCCCTGCATGTGATTTTAAAATGAAATTAGTAAGAGGAAAAAAGCAACAGAAGCCATAGAGCTGAAATAACTAGTTTCCCTTTTTCAGAAGCAACTTGCAAAGCTGGATTATTTTCATTCAACAAAATAATTTGCAAACAATAGATTTTTACGTCATGTTACTCAATAGAAGAGCACTTAATATGTACACTCTTAGTTTTACAAGGAGAAAGGCACAAGGCACAAAAATAGAGATTTAGAGATTTCCCCCTTGCTATAGCAATTTTGAGTTTACATCTAACAAGTAAACACTAGATGGGAAGAGCAGAATTTCACCTAAAACTAACCGACACAAGATATGCATCAAAGTACCTGATAAAACGACCTGGCTCAAAGCCAGGAACATCTGGTGGTCCATACGGATCAAAACGAGCACCTGGTGGAACACCCCTGTATGAAAAGACCAAATAACTCAATCTTACAATATGCATTTCCCATCTTTGAAATGAGAGAGAGAGAGAGAGAGAGAGAGAGACTTACGGCAGTCCTCCAGGTAAACGAGGATCCCCACCCATTCCACCAAAAAAGCGAGGGTCACTAGGCCCTGCATCATAAAACATAAAGAGCTCAGTTGGCAAAAGACAAAATTAGGAATTCTTTATCTGAACTAAGACAAAACTAGTCACACACCTATAAGCATGCTCCCACCTCCTGGTTCGCCTCTACAATGACAGAAAAGGGACGGTGTAAAGACAAGATTAGCATGTACAAAAATCAGAACACACCAACTGGCAAGTGCCATTCAACATGAGAGGGGAAAACACAAAAAGATAACAAACCTGGTTGGGTAAACTCCAGCACCAGGCCCAGGGAAAAGATCGCTGCCACCAGCGCCAGGAATGGGAGGAACCACATATCTGTATAATCCATGTAATGTAGGAAGTTAAAAATTCTGTGCCACCGCCTCCAATAAAACATGATATCAGAGCTTGAAACTCTTTACAACATTTTGCGATGCGCAAGTTAAAACGCCTGAAGAGTGTATGTGTGTGT